AGAGCATAATAAAGCACATAAATCTCCTCCCTTCATCTTATATATAGAAAATGAGGGGTGGAGGGGAGTACTTGGTCATTTTAGAGGAAACGAAACTAAGTATGAAATATGGAGGCGGTTTTGAGTCTTTGCAGGCTGTGGAACTTAGGGAGGTAGGAGGAGGAGGAGGAGGAAGTAGGGTGCTGGGTTTCAGAGGAGCATTTGCAGTTTGCAACGGGAGATTTGAGGAGCTAAACCGGGGACTTGGCTTTCCACATGTCTGCGGTGGGAATGAACTTTTGTGTAGGATCTCAGTTTGTGCGCATGAACAGTAAGCTTCCTTTTACCTTTACAGGCTACAGAAATGCCGGTAAAGAAATTGCAGGAAAAAGCAGTGATTGACATGCCATGCCATGACAGAGAGTCATTTGACTTTGTCACTAGAAACAGTTTATTATGCCATTCTATTGGCAAATGACAAAACTAGAGAAGAGAGACCGGACACATGCAACAGTCTAACAGAGATTGTTTTCTTTTGCAGGCTAGCCAGAATTTTAATGCATGAGCTGGCTTAGATTTTGCTGCTAAACACATTGTTATAGAATTTGCTCTAATGAAGTATCTACACAGACATCTTCTCCTGTTTGCTTTTCTTTTCCTCCTCGTTTTCTCATCTGTGTCAGTGTCTTAAGCTCCCTCTTTGACCTCGTCTTCCTCATTTTTTGGTTCTTGCTTATAGGCCTTATTGGCTGAAATATATCAGTGAGTTTTGGACCAGTCTCTTGGGTTTCAGTTTGGAATTAGTGTAGTGCCTTCTGTAAAAGATTAATACTCTGATACCAAGTAGCTTCCCACAGGATGTTCTCAAGACCTGACCATTAGGGAAATGAACTGATTAGTACAAAATAGTGTGAGCAGCTCCAAAGGATTTCATGGCCTCCTCTCTCTGGAGGGTATAAAGGGCACTGGTGGCAAGGATGGGTTTTTTCACCATCTGTTCGTGTGTGGTCCCACTGAAGTTCTCTGTGTTAGGCTTCATGATCAGATGAGAAGTTGATGAGTTAACGTTTTTCTCCCTGGATAGCAGTCCTTAGCACTTGAACTGTTTTCAATTTTCCAGGATTGCAGCACTTTTAAAATAATTTTGTCACTTATATTTTTCCCTTTTAATACGTTTGGGTTTTGTTTAACACTTGCAAAATCATGGGTGTCAACATTTCCTTACCAGATTATTATATTGGGTGCTTTGGAGGAAAGGAAATGAATTGCAAGACTTCAGAGGTATAAAAGCAAGAGCTAAGGATGGTAGCATGGTTTTTGTTTTGTCAAACCAGGGTTTGGGAGGTACCATCCTCTTGTCAAATCCCACTTTGGGGCTGTGGAGAACTTAAATACCCAGGGAACGCCAGGGCTTAGTTACAAATCCTTTCTAAGACTGCTTTTCCTTTACATAAGCAGATGGAAACTGGTTTCAGGGGAGGGAACTTCTCAAGTTTTGAAGCCCTGAAGAAAATTAATAAATTCATGTATTTTAAAGCCAGAGGGGAAGTATTATGATCGTCTTGTCTGACCTCATTCATAACTCGGGCCAGGGGAAGTCGCCTAATAACCCCTTCATGAGCTCGCTCAGGCGTGGTTGAAAAGACAAATGATTTGACAGAAATTGTTGTTTTACAAATGCGTGGGGGAGGCGGGTGGAGCATGTGACGAATTTCCCTGAGCATAAAAGGTCCAACCTGTGGTAATCCTAACTGCAAAGTAAATTTACAAAAATATTTCTTCACTAAGGCTTTAAGTTTTATGCCGGCGTAGTAGTAATACAGAATGCAGGCTGAAGACTTCTCTTGGAATTAAAAGCCACTTTATTCCAGAATGCACTGATTGTGTTCCTGCTGTAGCCACTTACTGACATTTTCTATTCCCTTATTATTTTGTTAAAACGAAGAGCTCTGAATCCTCTAGGAAAAGTTGAGGCATGCCCATAACATTGTACTAGCTGGAACAGTAGCAAGGCACACAAGAAGATCATTAGAGTGGTGGATACGTGTAAGATGATGGATTTTTATTTTTTTTTTTTTTAAATGCAGCTAACAAAATGTTGTCTTTAGAGCAGGGAGAGAAAAGGTGGCAGAACTGATCAAAGAAAATGGCATCTCATTGATAAAACACATGCTGCAGTACTTCCCACAGTTGGAAGACCGTAGTATTTAACAACGGTGACCTAGATTGGAGGAGACAATAAAAGCTGTTGCGGCAAACAGCAGATTGACTGCCATCCTCATCTGGGTAATAAACGACTGAAATATGGGCAGTATATGAAGGTTTACTAATGTAGCTTACATAAAGACCTGTACTTTTGGAGGAGTTGTCTCTGTAGCAAATTCAGTTTGAACTATAGTTTGCATCTGACAGATGTTTATGTGCTCCTTTACAAAGATACCTATTACTTTATTCAAGGATCTATGAGCCTGTGAGAGTATGACCTGATTAGGTTTTAAAGTAAATCAATATGTGAACCTGTCCAAAAATAGACATGCATTTATTTTAAAAAATATTACTCAGTGGCATAGCCTCAAAGGGATATAGCTTTTCTGGAGAGTTTCAAATGAGATAGCAGTCATATGTTGTTATTTTAAAATATTCAGTGCCATTCATATGCTACTATTTCAGCTATCCTGTTGAATGTAGCTGACAACAGATGACATTCGTGATGCTTTGTACCCACAACAGTCTTCTAAGACATTAAAACTTGCTTAACTCTTGACCCTGGGGGTATTTTGTATTTCTTTTTAATTTTTTTCTTTTTTTTTTTTGTTTTGGGTTTGTTTTTTTTTTAACTAAATGGACCTATTATAAATATTTTGCTTTTGTTAAGTGGTTCATGTTAGTGCTTCTTGTGAAGTTATGCAGTCAACCTTTTACATAAATATAAATCCAAATTCTAGAAAAATAAACTGTCAATCCAACTGTGATTTGGGAGATGCTTTAAGTAAGTCCCATTGAGCTGTAAAGACTGATGCATCCCTACTGTGCTGTAAAACTAAATATTATTAAATAGGGTTGTGTGCAGGGGAAGGAGATGGGGGTTGCGAGGGACATCTGTTCTCTGCAGCGCTTTTCTCCCTGTTTGCT